GTATTACTTCGTGTTTTACCAACAATATCTCTTACGTACCTCTTGTTGAAATATGATATATCTTGGAATGCCAAGAATAACTTATTAGTAAGTCCGGCTAATTTGACTATCAAATTCCCCATTCTATATCACTGTTATCAATACATCCTTCACCCAAAGTTTAATGCGTATTAGCGTTTATTTCACACTAGAATTCCAGCGGATGACTATGTCTTAAATGCAGGTTATAGTTTTCTCGTATCTATTACCAATTCACATGTATTTAGCTTTATATTCCTGGCCCATATATGTGTATGTACATAGATCTACATCTACATGGATCATAACTTACGATCCATGGAGATTGATAAATACTGGTCAAAAATCACAGTTGATAAGAAATGCGAACACACAATCTCACTCTCATCATCTCGGTTTTACTCTGAACCATACATCTAAATACAATTGTTTCCACTCGGATCTTCCTCTCACAACCTCATACAAGACTTACTGCATCGGTCTAACCGCCGACACTGATTCCGCTACAACCTCCATCTTTGCTCAAGCTCATAACTTTAATACCTCTAGGTGTCCCTACAGAGTCTACAGAGCCGAGATCGGGTACCAAATTTTGAGTAGTGGTGGTGCATATGATCGAATAGAGCTAGTATCTTCAAATGAATAGTTGTGACTACTCAGGTGACCTAGAATACACTTGGGTAGTTATGGCTATAGTTTGATGGGATGCAAATGTTATCTTGTGGGTTATTTTATTTGTGTGATGTTGTGTTACAGATTATTTATGTGACGACTGGAATAGAGCACAGGGTAGTAAGTGACCAAGTCAAATCAGATAAAGACTCGAATCAGGAATATAATTCATAAGATTCTAATCTAAAGAAGAGAAGTAAGACATCTAGATATTTACACTTCAACATAATTTACCACTGGCCCGTGCACACACAGATTCGCCATACAATAGCCGGAAATGATGATGTGAAGTTTTATTATGCTACTTGAGTCTATGACTATCTAACATATTGAACTACTTTCTGACCTAGACCACACCTTGTACAGTGTTCCTATGCTCTTTTATCACCTCAAAGATCCCTTATATATTGACCGTGATGAATAGCCTTTTAATACAGTATTTACCCGTGGAATTCGGTCACCCTACCCGCGGAACCTTTGGTAGCAATGGACACTGCGTGCGCGGGAAAAATTCTCTAAAAATCTACAACCCCCGCCAGGCAAGGCCTGTCAAGGAAACAAGGCGTTCAGGCAAAGCAGTCACATGATAAATAGACATGTCTAAATGCACGCTAACGCGTCCGTAAATAATTATTAGTTTCATAGTACCAAATTCTTTCCTCTTTGTAGACAATCTAATTCACCAGATCAGACATCGTTGGTCCCCATCCACCTCACCCCCTACTGTGACAAGGCCTAGACACCGGGACCACATGATGTGCGCATATCGATCTATATCTCCCTTCTTTGTAACAGTCGAGGCCGACTTGATCCAATCCGCCATCTCCGTATCGGGTGCTGGGTACGCTCCGGAAACTACTTGGATGGCTTTTCCTCCATAATCAAGGGTTGGTGATGAGTAGGGCTCCGACCCTACCATCTGATCTGATCGTGGTTAGCTTCATGATAATGGTGATAGGGGAATGTGTTGAGGGATGAAGACGATACAGACCGTGGAAGCGATTGGGAATCCTCATCGAAGTAAGGACTTTGTCACTCAATCTCGGCTCTGCAGACTCTACAGTGAGAGCAGGAGTTTCGTAGTGGATACCACTGACAGGTATTGAGAATAGCCCCCCTCGGGGCTGTAGGTAGACTCTCAGGAACAAACGCCTTCAAACAGTGACAATCCTCCAGTCCTATCTTAGATATTTATCTATTTTCAGTTGGAGATCTCTGTGGTAAATTCTGACTCTCGAATTTAGGACTCAACCATTACCTATTTCGTCTCATGTTCCCCACAATATCGACTCTCTCTACAAATATCCCGAGTACGCTAATTGCGCCTAGTGTCGCATATATGTTTGGATATTTACGTACTATAGTGTACCTGGGCTTATCATGGTAGATGAGAAGCGCCTTGTCATCACTAGGTTTGACTGGCACAAGAGACTAGCAGGAATTTCTCCCTTAGATGTATTTATAAGTCCAAAGTTCCCATAGTTGTAAAATATCAAGTCTTCTTTACTTCATCATGTTTATCCATGTAATATCGTACAGAGTAAATTTTCCAATAATCTCATAAACAGCACAGTAGGTGCGGGCTACGTCACCTATAAAGGTCTCACGTAGAAAATTGACTGGGGATTACTGTTAATTAGCTTGGGATGTAGCAAAAAGATATGAATTTGGAGATAGGTGCCCACGGCTGTCCTTGGTTATGGAAGCATTGATGACTTCTTTATCACTGCTCGCTTAAATCCTCTCTCATTTTTTTGTATACCTTGTAGGCAGAGCTTTGATCTTAAGCTTTACCACCTTTTAACCTTGAGTTCTTGCTTGCCACAATTAGCGTGTCATAACAACAATGACAATGACCATGAGCTGTGCACTGGCAGGAGGTTAAATTAAATCAAACTCAATAAATAGATGGCCAGCAAAGACGAATTCTTCACCTTCCATTGGTGCCGATGTAATCACTCAGTATGTTCTGGATGTCTGGGATAGCCAAGAAGAATCGTATCCGAATCGAAGTCGAAGGCAACCTCAAGCATATCTAAAATCGATGACTTTTCGTCAAATTTTGGACCTATCATTCTCACGCGAGTCCTCCACCTCAATCTTACTACACCACCTTGCCTCAAATACCGATAATAGCGTCACTCCAATTACATTCGAGCATTTGCCTCATCAAAAATCGGCCATCTCCCACTACAAATGAACGATGCTATGTATACCCGCGAGGAAGAAATCAAGTCACAAACTGCAAAGCTCAGGCCTTGGTCTATGGGGGACTGTTGCTCTAATGGGTCTTCACATCTTGAGGGAGGACAGGTGGCCGGGACGTGGGACGAATGAGTGAAGAGGTCACAAATGGGCATGCTGGAACTAACATTTTTCGAATGTCTTTGACTTAAGGGTGTCTGTGGGCGCAGAAGCAACGATTTTGGACAGTGCAACCGACACTCTAAAAATAGGCAACGATGGAAGGTGTTTTGGTCCGCCTCCTGGTCGTCATCTCCCCGAATTAAAGTCTGGGTAGCCTGGACACCTACCTCACTCGAGAAAGGGAGGATTGTGAGGCCATATCTCGCGCAGTGGCTGTATACAAGATGGCAAAGGCATGTTAGGGTAGCCAAAGGTTTTTCCTGATTTCCTTTCGGTAGATATTAACGGTTGAGGGAAGGGTGAAAGTCCCTAGCACCAAGTTCTCGAGTGGTATCAGCGAATGCACCCACTACATGAGTATTCCAAATGTCAAATTGAGTTATCGTCGTATGTGGTCGTCGGAGAATCTAGTCTTCTCCGTGTCATTCTCTTTGAGTGCAGGGCTTGTGCCCGTCACGAATAAAATATTTATTCATTCAATAAATGGATGAAGTGTTGGTGGGGAAAAACACACCGACTCCATGCAGTCGAGAAAAAGAAGCCAGATCATGAAGCATTAAGCGATAGTTAGCTTCCCTGCTAGCAGAGACAATCTGTGCCTTCTCTAATGGATCCTCGTCGGGACCCGGAAAACCAGCCTGGAGATATGTAGTATACCAAGGAGGTAAGCTAGCTGTGAGTGGTTCCGGTCCACTTCCCGGAGCAGAGGTGTTCGACGTGGAGATTGTAGGCGCCATGAAAGCTTTGGAGGCTGCAATAGCGGTAGGAGAAGACTTACCGATCTGCACTCTTCTGGACAATCAAGCGGCTACTCGGCCGCTCGAAAGAGGAAGATTTAATGCCTCGCAAGCCGTGGTCGATAAGTTTCCACTGCTGAGAAAAAACAAGCGTGTGGAAATACGCTGGATACCTGGTTATGTGGGGACCCAAGGTAATGAAGAGGCCGATGAGCTGGCCAAATTGGCCTTGAGAGCTCTCAACAACTGGTCACTAACCACGGCTTGGCTCAGTGGAGAATCTCAAAATATAACCTTTGCGGCACTAGGGAGACTATTTAAAGTGCGGGGTCAAGAACTAGTGGAAGAGTGGTGGCAGAAGTATCGACCGAAGCGATACAAAGACCTAGACCTCTACATGCGCTGCAAACAGCCACCGGAACTGGCTCTACCAAGATGGGCGTAACACCGTCTAATTGCGGCGAGGACGAGCCACGGGGACTACGCCGACTATCACTGGCGTTTCAACCCAGAACATGAAGATCTGAAGTGCGTTTGCGGCCGAGAGAAAAGGCCCTGGCATTTTTCAGAGTGACGACCTGTTTTGTAACGTTAGAGAAGCTGTGAGAAATTGGCCCCGCCTAGAGCCAAGGAGATGATTGGGGAGAAGGGATGGCAGAAGTTTTTCCAATTCTTAACTACAAGCAGATGCTACAGTCTGCCGAAGAATGAACAGGGTGGGAGGTGGCCACGCTGAGACGGTCTCCAACTCGGGAGGGGATGTGCTTGGAATATGTGGATGCGGTGCAGGGCACTGTAACTCAGACATTTGTTGTTCCTTTTTTTTCTTTTATCGCTTCTGCCTTTAATGCTGGTCATGTAGGTAGCAATGAGCTCTCAGAGCCCATCTACCCGTGTGACGTCTAAATAGATGTTAGGTTTGTCCTGTCACGTTAAAGATTTTCAAACTCAGATTTAATAAATAGATGATTAAATGTCTTGTCTGAACTCTGTTTAGTTTGAGTTGTTAATTGTTTTACACAAGAGCTAGCTTAACTTGGGCGTGAGCATTGACACAGCAGAAAATTCCCCATATATAGCTCTAAACAGGAACAACAATCTACATCCTTCTGTTAGCTGATCCAGCTTTCACTAACACATCTTAATAGGGCTTATAATAAATCCATAATAGGCCCAAAAAAATGAGTACTACTCTCGCCATAAAAATTAATTTAATTGCAAATTCTTCCATGCCCGAAACTTGTCAGTAAAATTGGATGTCCTTAGGCCACCAGGGCTGTACCTTTTATCCGAGATCTGGGTTTTTTGAGACGAAAAGTTCAAGTTTGTTAAAGTTAAGAGTGGTACCAAACTTGGTCTGCCATGTGCACATTGAAATGGGTATTTACAGCTCGCCAATTCTCGTACTATAGTTTGACTTGCTTCTCGACTTAATTCATCGTTGAACATCACAGCACTGCGACAGGCACGCGAAGTAAGCAATTCTAGGATACCAGCTGGACAAGTAAGAATCTGATTATACCAACAGGTATTTTCTAGATTATGTGGTTCTGTAAGGTCATATTGGTCTTGCTCGCGCAATTTCTTGATTTCAAGCCTAATGAGTTCCAATAGGAGGTGCGGTTGCCGTGTACAGCGATTGAAAATGGTTGGGGGTAAGGAAATGATCCTTACATTTCCATAAATTGTGGCTTCATGCGAAACTAATGTATCACTACAAACTTCAAATACTATTCCCCAACGAATGAAGTGAGCTTTATACAATGAGAGGATGTTTAATTCATCGAGTAATAACTCAAAATTTATAGGCGTTTTTAAAGTATGGGAGCACACTCGATTGACGGATCCTGAAGATGATGTTTTCTCAGGAATACATAATTCTTTAAGTAAAGATTCGATTCGGATACGCTCATCAGCTGCATGTTGATCTACCATCACTAAGATGCTCTCTTTGTTTCCCTTCATCTTATTTTGAATTTGGCTTAATTTGACAAGAATAAACTTTTTGTCAACTTGAGCAATAATCTCGGCATGTCTCAAGTCATCTCTGTGAACACAAAGATTTAAATTGGCTAACCCAGTCAGATTAAGATAAGATTCATTATGGAAAAAATTACTGCTTTGATCGCAAATCAGATCTTGAATTATCAGATTGGTGCTTGTGGGGAATTGACATTGTTTTTCTGCAGTCGAATTTACAGGATCTTTTCGCTTATCAAGAAGCATTAGATTTCTGGGGATATTGTGCTCTAGTCTTGCTATTATTCCAGTATTTTGATGCTTAGGAATTTCACTAGGCATACTAAGCTTCAATCCACGAGAAGCATTTTTAAGGCTAGTAAAGTGGTCGACCTTCAGGCTTTTCTTCGGATATGAGTCAACACTGGTGGTGGAAATTCCGGAAATTTCGGCTTTCTCTGTCTGTTTGCGGCCAATTCTCGAGATTTCAGGAGGAGGAGAAACTACTATGTGTGTAGTATCATTCTGCAAAGACTCTATGGAATGTTTAATGCTTTCAGGAACTTTACGTGGTAAATTATCAACACTCGGTGCGACAAACGTTAAGTTTTGAGTCACTTTATTTTGAATAGTCATACGTTTTGTATTGTTTTTAGCGGTGTTTCCTGTATCAAAAGAAAGTGTTGAATTTTGAATCGCATTAAAGGCCGCTGCCTTAGATCCTATCTTTGAAACAGGGCCAGCGAACAAATTGGAATCTGTAAGCTCCTGGGATGAAAGAAAAATGTCTTTTGTGGTTCGAATATCTGGGGAAGTTTTATGAGATTTTTGTATCCGGGTTAGAACAGATTTAGAGACCGGATTTAAGACTGGTTCGCCAAAGTTTCCCTCTTCTACCAATGTCTCTCCACTCATCGAATGTTTACTTTTACCAGGGCAACAACACTGATTTGTGTTTGGACGAAAATTATTACGTCGTAGAAAGTCCTCAATCATCTTTTGTAATAGCCCTGTTACCATGTTACTTGTCTCCTCGCAATCTTCACCCCCAGGATTTCCATCTGCTGATGTCTTAACTTCTTCGCCTAGGGCATACAACGTGAATTTGAGATAAAATTTTGGCCATCTATCAATACATTTTTTATTTTTAATCGACTCCTTCACTCTAAGTCCGAAACTCTGACGATAAGTTTCATCTTCTCGAGGTTTCTCTTCTAAATCATGACAAAGCTCTGGCGCTCTGCTTGCAGCACCAAAATCAGAATGATTAAACTGACAATTTATCTGATCGAAGAGTAGATGTTTCTTTTCATTTAGTGGTCGTATTCCAAACGATATAAACTGGTATTTTTTCGTAGAGCACGGTAAAAGTGATATTGTACCAAGTATCTTGGCATAGGCATTTGATGCCTCGACTGTAACCCACGATTTTCTATCTTCGACTGTGTTAAGAGACACTTGGCGCAGAATGGTGCAGACTTTTAGACCAGGGTCTTTGGCTGACGCCGAAGAGTTCGGGTATCGAATAATCAATTTTTTATGGGACGAAGGGTTTCGCATAATTACTTCCACATTATCTCTCCAGGCAAAAACAAGTTTGACAATTTCATTAACCAAAATTGACCATTCTTTTTCATCTTTCTGCCACTTAATTATATTTTCTGTGCAATGTTTGATCCGAACTGGCATACCTCCAAACAAATCATTCACTGTGACCTTTGTTCCATGGTCGAAGCTAATTTTCTCCCACAGAGGGGCAGGAACATGTCGGGATAATACATTTGAGTGCTGCAAGACCAAAGTGTTACATGACCGGTACAATCTATGACGCGATGTAATTTTGAGAAGAGATAGGTTGGATAGAAATGCGAGAAATGTGCCCTTTCCGCCATGAAAATCAGAATGGAAAATAGGCTTTGAAGAGTCTATTGAAAGAGCTTAGCATTAAAAAATTTGGAACTTAGGAAAAGCTAACAATTCAGCTTGCCTAGGCCGCCATTCTTGCTAAATTCCGAGGGCGGAATACCAAAGCCATTGTCCTCTACAATACAAGCCCTCTGTCTGTAGTCAACACTCAACTCAACTCGCGTAGAATTGGCATCCAGCGAATTTTTGAAAAGTTCACAGATAACTACGTTCATGTCTGCAATTTCAACAGATGAGTTTATTTGCTTAATAACGTCATGGGACAGTAACCGAATCGACATTTCGACTTTTTAAATACGGGATCAGAAAGTAACGGAGCCAACCTTTCAGAATTTTGCAGCATTCGGATCAAAGTCGATTTTATTACTTTTATCTTTAAAAAACTTCTGTAGTACGTGATGACATGGATCCAAGAGCAAAGCACGGAACAGGAAAGGACCATCCTTAATTTAGGATGTATTTTATTCTAAATTTAAATGATTTAGTCTGGTTGAGGAGTATTTACATCTATACAGGTGTCTGAATTAAATTTTTTATGGAACTAAAATTATTGGAGATTCCAAGTCTCAACTTTAGAAGTTATTCCTTATTTATCTCTTCCGAGTTCCCGGCAAGATCGACTCTCTCTACAAATGACTCGGATACGCTAATCTCACCTGCAATTGCACAAAAATTTGGATATTTGAATACTGCAGTTTACATTGTCTTGTCATGGTAGATGAAAGTGGTTGATTGAGGGCAAGACTAAACACCTGTACGCGGTCTCCTCTACGAACCTGTGAGTGAAATATTCTCCCAGAGCCAAGTCCAGTCAAATTTAGCAATACGATAGAAGCTGGCCCATGAGGCAATGATTCAAAATACTCAACCATGTCAAACTTTCACTCACAACGAGTTTGATACCTACCTGACTCACATCAAGTCTGCAAGTACGGCTTAGTGCATCCTGATTCCAATGACCACATCTCTGATCGACTTTCCGTGGCCTCGGTTGGCCACCATATACACGCCCGCGACAATATTCTCATCCGACAGAGAAATCAAAGTGTAGCGCACTAATCTGGAAGACAGTTATTTGGGATGGACGTGAGAGGGATCAGGAGAAGTTGATAAGATGATGCAAAGGATGCATACAGTCTCGACGGGTGTGAATCCTGGAATTTTGGCAAGAGTTTTACGAATGGAGCTTTGTGTGCACCAAGATTTCAATCAAGATCGTACAGCTAACACTATAAATACCGTTCAAAGATAGATGGTGACGTGATTCGCCTCCCGGTGATGTTCTCTGGTATAGTTTGGGTGGCTTGAGTATCTACTCCACTTGTGAAGGAGACAACTAAAACTCCATTTCGCACGTAGACTTGCCAATAGATGATAGAGCTATATCTGTACAACTCGGGGTTTTTGAGACGGTTTTTGGGTGGACATTCACGGATGAGGGTTGAACAGAATAGAAAGAAATGGAACAGATGTGTAAAACTTAGAGAGGTCTTCGTGTGAGTGTCATGTGAATCGTCAAAAGATGAAAGCGAATACAAGAATGAATTGATTAATTGCCTCCGTGCTACGAGTCCATCGTAGCACTATAATATCTAGTTCTACCCTATTGATGCCCCTGATCATCATTACTAGTCTGACATGCCTGCACGCAGATCGTGCTTTCGCTTTTGGACTGTATCCAGACTTATGCAAGCACAAGTCTGCTTACAGAATGGGATTAAACTCAAGTCCCTACTGAGTCTGTGACTGTTAAGACCCTCCAGCCCTTCGGGAGGCTAAGGGCACGACTGAGACAATAAGACGTTTATGTCTTAGATCTTGACAAAGAGATCGCTTATTCTGACAACCAGAACGATACTTGACACGCCTACAAATGAGCGTGCGTCTAGTTTTGACAGCCAATGGCCCTGGTAAGCTTTACTTCACATATGGTCCCCAACATCGACTTCATGTATTCGAGAAAGAGAAGCTAGGTTGGGATGCATCAAACGATGCTCAGCTTCCCTGTCAGCTAAGATAGACTGTGCCTTCTTTGATGGTTCTTCGTCGGGTCCCGGACAATCAGCTTGAGGGTACGTGTGTGTGTGTGTTTGTGTTTATTGTGCTACTTGAGTCTATGACTATCTAGCACATTCGGCTCCTCTCTGACCCAGGCCACACCTTGTACAGTGACCAAGAGCTTGTGAAAGAGTGGTGGCAGAAGTAACGGCCGAAACGATACAAAGATCTGTTACTATTCATGCGCTGTGAAAAGGCGTCGGAGCTGAGAAATTTACTTTACTATTTTTCTTTTCTTTTGTCGCTTCCAGCTTTACTGCCGGTCATGTAGGTAATAATGAAATTTAAGAGCCCATCAATCCGTGCGACGTCTAAAAGGATGTCGGGTCCTTCCTGTCACGTCAAAGATTTGAAATTTAAATTCAGTAGGGCTCTCTAGTCAATATTTACAACGTAATACCGTGTCCCACGTATTTTTGAATTTGATTTCATTTAGCGCGATTTGGCGCCTTAAGGCCCATGTAGGTGTCTACGAACTCTAATATTTACATAGGAGGAAACACTATGGTAAAAACCGGAGGACGAAGGCTGAACACCTGTCAGTGGTGTCCTCTACGAACCTGGGAGTGAAATATTCTCCCAGAGCCGAGATTCAGTCACGAAAAAGGGTGCGATGAATTTTAATTGATGGATCTTCGACTTGAAGGAGTTGCACTCGATATTTTGGTCGAAAAATCAGTCGGCAGAGATTTCACAGCCGGAACAACGTCGAACAAAAAGTCATCACCACCAACATACGATTCACAAATGGGCCTAGGTCTATCTGGGGGTCGTATTCAAACATCCGACATCTCTTAAACTTCTTTTATACTTGCGACGAAGCATTTCTCAATCGATCCTACACCTGCGACCTACCTCCATACCCGTCCGATCACCTACCTACACACGCCCTAATGAGGAAAGTCATGATGGAAACGGGACGTGTACAAAGGAGGAAGAAGAGGGAAGATACACCGAGGGGATTACACAAATCCCCAATGACGAAAACAACCCAATGGTACGATATGAAGATGCAAGGCTAGAGCAACGACGAGATCTTGGACGGCATTTATATTTCGGAGTCAATGAGGATGTCAAGGGCTCGGGCGCGTGGTGGCCGAGGCTGAGGAGGAAATCGCGCTACGGCGTGTATACAGCGGGTTTCTGGACGGTTAGGCTTGGTATGATTCAACACATAGGTGAAGTCTGAGGTGGTCCGGTCATTAAAGTGGGACGAGGTTTATCTGTACTTCACGGTAGTTAACCTGATCCGGCCCAACCCCACACGTGCTTAAGCTCCAATAGGAGTGCAACGGTAGCCATGTAACCTAGCACGTTAATGAACAAAACAAAAACCATGGTAAAAACCCCCTCGGAGGGCAAGACTGAACACCTGTACGCAGTGTCCTCTACGAACCTGGGAGTGAAATATTCTCCCAGAGCCAAGTTCAGTCAAATTTCGCAATATCAAAGAAGTTGGCCCACGAGGCAAAAATTCAAACTACTCCACCACGTCAATCTTTCACTCCCAAAGAGTCCGATTCTCAACTAAGCTTCATCAAGTCTACAAGTACGACCTAGCACATCCTCATCCCAATGATCATACCTCTCGTCGACATTCTCTGGCCTCGACCACCAAATACTCGTCCACGCCGATATTTATACCCGACGGAGGAAGCAAAGCGTGGAGCACAAATCTGGGAGATAGCTCTTTGGTATGGACGTGAGAGGGATTAGGACAAGTTCAAAAGATGATGCAAAGGTAGGATACAAACTCGACGGGCGTGTCATTTTGAATTTTGGCAAGAGTTTTACGAATTGAGCTTTGTGCGCGCCAAGACTTCGCTTGCGAGAGTGCAGCTGACACTATAAACACCGCCATGGTTGGATGGTGCGATGGTACATCGTCTTGGCCGATCTCCCAAGTAGAGTCTGGATAGCTTGAACACATATCCCACTTGAGACAGTAGATCGCTGGTTCAAATCCAGCAAAACACAACCACTTTTCTCGCGGCGCTGGTATGCATGGATGACGAAGGCATGCTTGGATAACCAAAGGTTTTGAAATTCCCTTTGGTGGGTACTAACGGAGGAGGGTCGACTGTTTGTGTAAGCGAACATACCTCATAGTGGTATTTGCGAATGAAATCCATAGTGTGAGCGTCTCTAACGTCAAAAGAGTCATCCCACATGTATACATAGCACCGGTCATGTGTCATAGCTAGATAGCTGAATACACATTAAATGATTCAAAAAAAAAAAAAAAACCAGGTCAAGCGACATAAATACAACGGTGCCTTTCATAATGAAAGTCATTAACTTTGTTCAAACAACACTGTAATGAATCCCGCGCTTCCTGCAGCAATTCATGGAGTCCCTGTCAATCTCGAACTCCTTAATCGATTTTAGGATACATCAGCTTTTCAAATGTCTAGCGATTGATAAAAAAATGCTCAGCGTATCTTTTAAATCCCGTAAATCGAATTCTAATCTCGATGTAAAGACATTGTGTTGAGATAGTACCGACAAATAACGGTCACGGTACCGAAGGTGCAAACCCACGCCTAGCACTGCAACATGCACATCTACTGCTCGCCACCAAGCTTCGGGCGCGGGAGCGCCCAGGTAAAAACTATACATGGAAGCGGTCGGGGTAGCGACACCATAAGCCCCTGGAATATAAGTGCTAGCCGCAAGGGGTCGGGTACCACTTAGCGTATATGCAACAGCATCGAGTGTACAGGTGTATCTCGAGTGTCACTAAAGGAAACCAGTACGGTCGCCCCTGGATCAGCTATTCAGGGGCGCTCAACTAGGGTACTGACCTGCGATTATAGGAGCAGTGATGCGACTGGCAAGCGGAGGATATACGAGAGCCGCAGGAGCAGCGATGGCCGCTCATGAACCGTGGATTCATGAGCGTTGGATTGGTAATGTGATTACTATAGATAGTCAATCACGAGATGGAACTAAGACTATGACATGGGTCATACAGATGTATATAAGATAGCATATATTCATACATCTGACAGTACAGAAATCTGTCGAACACATCCTCTACATACTCCAATCAGACATAACAAGTGACAAGTAACTATGTTCCCATATAACTCATAATCTTAACACATTGTGCGATCCTTGCGAATTCTCAAAGCCGGAGAGAGTTAAAAATCGTCACCCGCAAAATCGAGTCTAAGTGGGATAATAGATCTTGTATTGATGGGAACAAAAAGGCATTGTCGCCAGTTTTTTAAAGGGTTTAGTAGACAATCTCAGTATGAACGCCTTGGCTGCTGAATTAAACCCTACGTAGAACTTCATATGTTGGGGAGGTGTGTTTAGGGATAGTATTTTTGTTATGGCTAGGCATCCTTGAAGAATGTTCCCGGTAAAACTCTACCGATAGTGTCAGAGGGGCTAGAGTCATGATCATATCTTGATATAGACTCAGTTAAATTCTAGTATGGTCTTGAGTTAGACTTAAGGTAGCTGGAGTTGCAACAAAGTAGCTCTCCAGCTTCTCAGTATTTCATTATTTTAATCCTTAATCTTGCATTTTGGTAATCATATAATGTTATAATCTTATATATTTATAGTCCGATATTCTCAGTCTTTCATTTCTCGTTTCAGTTTTCGTACTTTGTTTGATCTTAAGTTGTAAGAATGCTTCACTTGTTCCGCAACTCGACTTCTTGAATAGTCTATTACGACTTTCCTTTGTCTCTCCGGGCTCTGACCCTCTGGCACCTCGCTAGTTTAATTATCTGTAAGTATCTTGGTAAGTATTTATAATCATAATTCATTACTAGATTACCTTCGGCAGACGGCGATCTCCAGTCTCATTAACGTACGCCATAAAAAGTTACCTACTCTTGTATACTAAGATAGTCAGGCCACATGACCTTCCTAGCAGTATATATATTTCATCCGTTGCGGTAGGGCTCTCTAGTCAACATTTAAAACGTAACACCGTATCCCACGTGTCATTCTTAGAGGATTCAGTAACACCATTTTCCAACTATCGATGGAATTTATTTCCCGAGCTTCTCGGTGAGTTCGGGCACTGTATCGAATAAGTCTCCGACGAGGCCAACGTCAGCGACTTGAAAAATAGGCGCATCAGCATCTTTGTTAACCGCAGCAATGACCTTACTGTCTTTCATTCCTGCGAGGTGCTGAATAGCTCCTGAGATCCCCACACAAAAGTACAATTGAGGTGCAACTACTTGTCCAGTCTGTCCGACCTGGAGGCTGTTATCCGCGTACCCACTGTCTACAGCTGCTCGAGATGCCCCCACAGCTGCCCCAAACGCATCAGCCAGAGGTAAAATTACACGATCGAATTCCTCCTTGGACTTCAAGCCACGCCCTCCGGAGACAACTTTGCTAGCTGTCGCCAAGTTGGGTCTATCTAACTTCGCTAGATTTTCCGAGACCCATTTAATTGGGGAGTCTGAATTAGGATCAACCCCATTCTCGATCAGTACTTGGCTGCCTTCAGCTTCGTATTCTGCTGGCGGAAATGCCGTAGCCCGAGTCGTTATTACTTTGATTTTATCTGATGATTCAATTGTGGCAATAGCATTACCTGCATATACAGGCCGCACAAACGTATTCTCGTTATCAACTGCCGTAATATCTGATATTTGTGCAACATCAAGTAGGGCTGCAACTCGAGGCATTAAACTCTTCCCAAAAGTAGTGTGTCCAGCGAATATATGAGTATATCCTCCTTTTCTTATATTTGATACTAACAGTGGTGCAAAGTTTTCCGGTAGTCCCTAGTAATCTAGTCAGAATTTTTAGATTGATTTGGTTTAGAAAACTAGCCTTGTCTTACGAATCATTCTCAATTGTTATAATCTTTTGGATTCCCCTGATCTTGGCGGCTTCCTTCGCAGATTCACTAATATTACCACCGGCTATGAATCCGGTTATAGAGCTGCCCAACTTATGCGCTGCAGAAACTGCACTCAGAGAGCTTTGTATTAACTTTCCATCTTTCAGTTCTAGAACTGCTAATGCTGATACTGATCTGCATGAAATTAATCTAGTATTGCTTGATGCTAGACTTGCTAGGGATCTGAGCCTTTCCCGCGTGAGGCAGAGGGTTGATGAACCTATCCGAAGAGCCATATTCTAAGTATTGACTCCGAGTTATTAGTTAGCTGGTAGATGAGAGAACAGTAATACCGGGCGTGGTCAGCTTAAATGAATTGTCGTTGTTATCAGTAGGGGCAAAGAGTTTGTGGGGTTCGTGTATCCAATGACTAAGCAACAAAATAGTGTCGATACTACTTCCTAGTTCGGCGATTGTGAGATAATGCGTGATATTCACCACTTAAAGTTGCCAGCAAATCATCTGCTAAGAAAGACCAGTGATTTTGGAAGGAGGCTAGAGAGGTAGAGTTTGAATTTCCTTCGATACCCAGAAGTGTGCAGCGCCCAGCTGGCCGGCCTCTTCGAACGCTTCAGAGGGGTCGCTCAATGTGACTGAAACCGAATTTGTGATGATAAGATCGATTTAAAAACTCTGTAAAGATGATAGAGAAATCAAACTACAACTACAGTCACTTATAATATTCAGTCCACTCTAAATCTCGTTCCATAAGCCTTTTCGTTGGGTCGAATATTTGCCGCACGGCCTCGTGTTGTCCGTAATCACTGCACTGTGACAACGCTGCAAGCTGGGTACCTATTCTGTGGTCACGATTTCAAGTTCTCAGTGAATTTAAATGGGGTGAATATTCACTTCAGGGGTTATACACCTGTCAGCGCCCGTTGCTACAGGGTATATAATTCTTGGCCAGGATTTCAAGGCCTAAACTAAGGGCACAAGTTGAATTCATGTCACTTTCAGCTATATGCAAATCCAGCCTGTTCTGTAGTTTTCTGCTATCACTTTAATGACAGCCGACCACTAAATAATTACAAAGCTGTTCTCATCCTGTGCTTGAGTAACAATAAGAATTAGATTTCTCAAATACAAAGTTATTTATTCAGAAGACACATGGCTTTACTAGATACTAACCTTATTTTACAGATGAATCCACCTTAAACCCCACCTTCAACACCTCGAGTCAAACAATTATCCAGAGATCAAAACATTTTAGGATGTAGAAAAATTAAATATGAACGAATTGAAATTAAAAGAAATTTTAAAATTTATGGGCTTCATGAATCTAGCAAAAACCAGACGCAGATTGACGCGCAACTAGGCATTTTTCGGGGACAAGTTAGTTATTCACTGCGCCGCGGAACTGTCTCCCCTAAAAAGAGAAATGAACATCCTCAAGACTGAAAGCAGATGATGGTGATCAGATTATACCTTACGTTGAGTCTTTACCTGCAAACCGCCGCAAAACATTTATAGAACTTGCCTCTGGCCCCTTTAGACATCTTGGTGATAGCGAGCGAGTAATACAAAGAGAACCTAATAATAAAGAGGATATCAGCGACATGTGGCTCGACTAAAGCCTCCAGTATCTCAGAAAACTATGAAGATACGCAGAGAATGGGCCGAAGCTCATCTCAATTGGACATATGAAGACTAGATGTCAGTTTTATGGACAGACGAAACTTGGTTAGAGGATGGAAGATGTTCTAGAGAATGGATGACAAGAAGTGTTCGTACATTCCTCCGTAAGAAGATAGTAATTTGATGCTCTAACATTATGAGCTAGACTTCCCAAGAACATAATGCTGATTGCGTTGGAGAAAAATCGAAGAATAGGGTCGGATGGATGTTCTGGGGTTGCTTCGCAGGGCCAGAAAAAGGCCCCTGTTTGTTTTGGGAGAAAGAATTGGGTTCTATTAACTCCCAAAAATATTGCGAGAAGATAGTTCCTCTTATCGATGGCATGGTCTCGATGAGACCTTGGCTTTCCGTAATGCAGGATAATGCTCCTGCTTACACGGCCGCAATTACAAGGGAAGATATGAGCCAGAGGCTCATTCAACCGATTTTTTGGCCGGCCAGCTCGCCTGATCTTAACCCGATTGAGGTTGTTTGGAATAGGATGAACGATTATATCCAGCGTCATCATTCGAATCTGGGTTGCAGAAAGCAGCGAACTCAAGATAGTCTTCGTAACATTGTAAAGGAGGCATGAGATTCTGTGTCTCCCGAAGATCTTGTGAGACTCATTCAGAGTATGCCAGCAAGATGTCAGGCTGTGATAGATGCGGATGGGGGACCACCCAGATATTAAGGCCTGAAAATATTCAAGCCTAAAGTTCAGATCCAAGGTTAGGATAAGACTGGCTCTATTTTGTAATTCGAAAATCTTTGAACTCTTGTATGTAAGTTATAAAGTCAAGTAGCAAAAATGCACAAATATTATGCAGCCGATCATAAAACCGATTAGGGTCAGTATGAAGGTTGATACACAATTTTTTTCAACAATTTGCACAAATACGGGGGCTAACCCCAATGTGGAGGATGGCCATTCCTAAGTAAGCTTAGCTAACACATGAAACCACTGCAAACCCCCCACCGTGGCAATAGGGTACTGCACTTTGGAAGGAGACACCTAAAACTCCATTTCGCACGTAGACTTGCCAATAGACGATAGAGCTATATCTGTACAACTCGGGGTTTTTGAGACGGTTTTTGGGTGGACATTCACGGATGAGGGTTGAACAGAATAGAAAGAAATGGAACAGAATGTGTAAAACTTAGAGAGGTCTTCGTGTGAGTGTCATGTGAATCGTCAAAAGATGAAAGCGAATACAAGAATGAATTAATTAATTGCCTCCGTGCTACGAGTCCATCGTAGCACTATAATATCTAGTTCTACCCTATTGATGCCCCTGATCATCATTACTAGTCTGACATGCCTGCACGCAGATCGTGCTTTCGCTTTTGGACTGGATCCGGACTTATGCAAGCACAAGTCTGCTTACAGAATGGGATTAAACTCAAGTCCCTACTGAGTCTGTGACTGTTAAGACCCTCCAGCCCTTCGGGAGGCTAAGGGCACGACTGAGACAGTAAGACGTTTATGTCTTTGATCTTGACAAAGAGATCGCTTATTCTGACAACCAGAACGATACTTGACACGCCTACAAATGAGCGTGCGTCTAGTTCTGACAGCCAATGGCCCTGGTAAGCTTTACTTCACATATGGTCCCCAACATCGACTTCATGTATTCGAGAAAGAGAAGCTAGGTTGGGATGCATCAAACGATGCTCAGCTTCCCTGTCAGCTAAGATAGACTGTGCCTTCTTTGATGGTTCTTCGTCGGGTCCCGGACAATCAGCTTGAGGGTACGTGTGTGTGTGTGTGTTTGTGTTTATTGTGCTACTTGAGTCTATGACTATCTAGCACATTGGGCTCCTCTCTGACCCAGGCCACACCTTGTACAGTGACCAAGAGCTTGTGAAAGAGTGGTGGCAGAAGTAACGGCCGAAACGATACAAAGATCTGTTACTATTCATGCGCTGTGAATAGGCGTCGGAGCTGAGAAATTTACTTTACTATTTTTCTTTTCTTTTGTCGCTTCCAGCTTTACTGCCGGTCATGTAGGTAATAATGAAATTTAAGAGCCAATCAATCCGCGTCACGTCAAAAGAGATGCGGGGTCCTTCCTGTCATGTTATAGATTTCAAATCCAAATTCAACCCCTAACTAAAAAAACAGTATCTCAGCTCAAAGCTGAAAAAATGTTACTTAATCTGGGCCCTACAGTGAGAGCGGGAGATTCCTAGTGGACATCACCAAAATGTGATAAGGTTTCTTTCCCCCTGTTAGCTTGATAATTTGGAGTTTGCTCTAGATTTCATTGTGCAATTTGGTTTAAAGATTGTTTAGCATATTGGCATCCCCTCTGATTCAAGCCACTTCTTGTGCAGCTCCCTGATCCTCTTTTGGCAGGAAAGAAGATCTCTGATAAATTTTTCATGATGGGCAGCCATACAGCTCAATTTTTACCCGTAGGACATAGTCTCCTTTTCTACGGCACCTTCCTCGTGTAGTCTACATTGAATATAGCAAATTGTGTCGAGGAGTTGTGCCATGAATATAGTAGGGCAGCGATCTGCTCGCTGAACAACTCGTCTTGGCTTCCCGAGACTGAGTCGGAGCCGCTGACGGCATCTATTACAGCATGATTTAAGTGGGCCTGACAACTGCTCCTATCAAGTCGTGCAAATTTTCGGATAGCCTTAGCTTTACGTTAAAGCATGCCTCGTACATGTAACTCCCCACCAACCTGGATTTCAGGGAAATATCTGCTGTCCAACAAGCACAATTTTTGGTAACTGTACCAAGTGCCACATATTTAGTCTCCAGATTTCTCGCAGTTTCTTATCAACCATTTCATTATGTCAACTTTTGGTACCATTTTCAGAGTTACTACGTATGTGAATCCGGCTAAATTAAAATTAATCTATTAAAAATTACATTAGTTACGGCGAATCGCATTGTCCATCTGTAGGATGCATTGTGGATGGTGTTCCCCCGGGAATGGAATTGACTGAGGATGATATTCAGCCACAAATGACAAGACGAAGACCGGGCCAAAGTGCCCTGACAACGCCCAGAAATGAGGCTGACACTGTCCAAATACAGTCGGGAACTGAATTTGGGGTTACTTTGGGAACTCCGATTGCCATGGTTGTGAGGAACAGAGATCAAAGACCCCATGATTACGGCAACTCAACAATGGATCTTTATCCTCGGCCAAGTCATGCTGACTGGACCTATCTGGAAAAGTATGGCATCAAAGCTAGTAGTGGAGGTGGTAGAAGTAGTGCGAGGGAAACTATTGGTCGAGTCGCAGCAAGTGCTATTGCTGAAAAATATTTGAGGCTCACGTACGGAATTGAAATTGTGTCGTGGGTTTCATCCGTAGGAAACCTTCACATGTTTCCACCAACTTCAGAACATCCAACACCATCTACCAATCCAGAATTTCTCAGTCTGATCCAAACCATCACCCGGGAAAAGGTGGATGAATTTGGGCCCGTGCGCTGTCCCGATGCAAAGGTTTCGGCAGAGATGGCTAAATTAATCGCTCAATATCGTGATCAACACGATAGTATCGGTGGTACGGTGTCATGCGTTATAAGACATGTTCCCAGTGGACTCGGCGAACCAACTTTTGACAAAATGGAAGCCATGCTTGCTCATGCTATGCTCAGCATTCCCGCATCGAAAGGATTTGAGATAGGATCTGGCTTTGGTGGCTGTGAATTATCAGGATCTCGTCACAATGACGCCTTCATTCGCACAGAAGAAGCTTCCCCTGCAGGAACAGGTGCTGCTACCAACGGAATTACTACACCAAAATTAACAACAAAGACTAATAATTCTGGTGGAATTCAGGGAGGAATCACTAACGGCGCGCCAATCTACTTTCGTGTTGCTTTTAAGCCACCTGCAACGATAGGGAAAGCTCAAGCTACTGCTACTTATGATGGAAGCGATGGGAGCTTGGAGGCTAAAGGTAGACACGACCCATGTGTAGTACCAAGGGCTGTTCCTATTGTTGAGGCAATGGCTGCACTTGTTGTGATAGATGCCCTCATGGCTCAACAAGCGAGAGAGATGTCAAAATCCCTACTACCACCAATCACGAGAGCACAGGGGAAAGTATCCACCAAGTCAGCCTTAGTTGATTCTAAACAAGCGTAAATGACATTACGATGAGTCATCCAGACTAGGCGCTGCTCTCGGCAAATCTCGGGATAATGGGGGCGATGAGCAAAGGGGGCATTGAAAGACTCATTCCAATTATTTCCAAAGGGAATGTAACCCGTCCATGTCTTTCCAATTGTTTTTTCTAGTCAAAAATTTCCAGGATTTGTGGATAAAAATGTTGACACAATATGAATTCAAGAAATAGGCTAGAAATAAATTGATATTGATGAGACAAAAATATGACCCACTGCGTGATTGCTCTCAAGTGTATCCAGGAAATTACCCCCCATATACTTGCCCACGATTGATTCTAAACCCTTGATAATTATCCTTGGTCTAATATCTATCCCTGCAGCGATTGATAAAGAACCGACTGAACCTGCATCCTAGATTAACTAGCGCAGACCGTACCGCTGGCTCAAGCTCCATCACAAACAAACAAGTAGGAGTTAATGAGCCAGACCTAAGGGGTTGGTCTGGTGGTTGCCGGGTGGACCGTGGATCGCCATACTGTACTTAGATTCTCTGTCTCCATAGAATGAAACGAAGGCCCCCCTTCCCACTTTTATTCAAGACAATTTACTGGTGACCTGCACAGGGGATTTTCCTCGGGTCGTTGTCATTGTCTACTTTGATCTTAACTATCTACCTACTTTATATCATCGGTATCGAGACGTCAGGTGGTGACTATTAGTAATCGTGTCGTGTGGATACGGTCTATTTATCGAAGCAGATCATCTCACGCGTTGAATGGGAGTCAACTGTTATTGGGAGCTATCTCGAGTCCACAGGCTGAAAATTCATCCTGAAATTTAGTTGGCAGCTCGGTGGTCTATATACATATTACGACCTAGTTTTGTGCTGCTGGGTCGAAACGCGTCATCACAGTGCCTGTTAAAGAAACCCGTTTCGTTCAAGTGTTGACCCTCAAGTGTGAATCAATTACGAAGGCCCCATTATTAAGTTAACTTATCGGTCTAACATCTGTGATCTGGAATTGGTGTAGAAGAAGGTGGAAAAATAACAACAGAAGAATAAGGAAGATTACAAAGAAAAAAAAAAAAAAAAAAAAAAAAAAAAAAACGGCTTTTGATTTTAGTGAATTGCGTGCTGAGTTGGAAAGAATCTGGATTGGTGAAGAGGAACTCGGAATGGCAAATCGAACACTCCCAAAGTTTGAACAGGCGGGAAGGTTTGTTGGAGAAGGAAACTCCGGAGCAAGGTGGCTGTCACGACTCGAATATGATTTCAGGACGGCGGGGCATACGACGGTCTCACCAGAAAATTTTTTCTTCGCGATTGATATCCTTTTTGAAGACGAAGCGGCAGGATGGCTTGATTCAACTCCGGAATTAAGGGCCTTCATTGACGACCGGCAGAATTCGACAGATGAGCAGGTGGCTGAGTTTAAACAACAGCTAATTGAAATGTTCCCCGCCAAGTTGGTAAATCACGTCGAAGGGAACCTGCAGAATGATATCCAGGATTTTATGCAGAAGGAAGCTGAACCACTGACAGCATACTATCAGCGTGCGCTACACATTCTTCGTCGGTCACACGGAAGGGATGCCCCAAGGACAGCAGCTCTGGGCAGACCAATGATTCCTATTGAGCAAACAGTGCTCAACTCCATTATCCTTGCGTTCCTCAATGGGCTTCGTGAAGAAGATGTCAGGTGTGAAGCGCTTTCCAGGTCCGCGCTATCATGCGGTTCAATGTGGAGATGTCAAGAAATAATCCTTGGGGTTAAGCAAAGTCTAGATGCGGCTAAGGAAGCTAGAGAAAGAGCCGCTGAGAGGAACGAAATGGCGCAAATTCGAGATCTATGCTCATCTCATTACGGGAAATCCGTCTCATCTGTGCTTGCAGACTTAAGTTCTGGGAGGATAATGGTACCTAAGCCAAGGCAGGGCTTCAGCAATGAAGCCTCATATTATCAACCTCGGCCTCCGCATCATCAACAACAACAGTTTGGGAACGGGTTCAATCATGCCAATAAGGACTCACCTCCTGCCCATCAGACTCTTGGAGGAAACACCACTAATCGTCAGAGCACATATAATCCTGGGAACGTGTCTAAGAATGCGTTTGTTAATGGAGCTGCTATCTACAAGGCGAGTGATGGACCGTTGTGTTTTGGATGTGGCCATGTAGGGCATATTAAACCGAAATGTCAGAATCTGCAACTTCAGAACTGGGAGCAAATTCACCTCAAGAATTTAATATATGATCGCCCTCAACCTCCGAGAGAATCAAACTCGGTACACTACGGTCATAGATACGGTAGGTGGAAAGAGAGTCAAGATTTTCACCGTCCACTAAATCCTCACTCTGATTTGCACAATCTAAGTGAAAATTATTCCTCTAGATCTCGAGGAATGAATGGTAACTATATGGATGTCCCAGACCAACCTCAATTGAACTCCGCTTTTGGATATAGGCCAGAAAACTACGGTTCAAGTCAACACAGCCTGAATCACCCACCAGCAAGGACTGAGAGTCAGGAGACGCATAGAGATGAACCTGAGGGATCTTGGAGAGCGCCGCCCAAAGTTCATTTCGCGGATCAAAGAGATGCGGACTGTTCACTCAGTCAGTTTGCCGACATCGATATACCAGATGATCATTGGCAACACACTGAATCAAAGGCCTGCGAACTAGGCACACAGGTTCAATCATTCAGCTCTGGACCAGGTAGGAAGAGGCAACGAATCGATATAGAAGATATCCTTAGCAATAATTCGCCCAACGAGCCTGTCAATGAGGATGAAAATCCTGGAATATGTCGGCCTATAAAACCGGCAAGAAAAGGAAAGCGGATTCTAAAGCATTTGAGGGAGATAGTGGGCAGAGAGGGATGCGGCCCTATGGATTATGTGGAACTGGCGAGAAGAATATGTATACCTCTAAATCTTCTTGAGCTCTGGCAAGTGAGTCCAGATACGGCAAAGGAATTCCGAAGACTCTCAACGAGGATGAACAAGAAGAAAGGGAAGCAAGTGCCAGCACAATTTTTCTCAAGTGCGGCCGATAACGGTCTGGCTCGGTCGGTCCAGAAGAGCCAGGAAACAAAAGCTTTTCGAATTCCTGTTGTAGCGCGCGCAGAAGCAAACGGGAAAATAATAAAAGTTGCATTGCCAAAGCATATCTCGCAGGCAGACCAAGGATCAGAGATGAACATCATCTCGCAGGGCCTCGTTAAAGCTCTGAGGCTTGAAAAGATCAGCTTGGGCACCAAGGGGTTCAGTGGTCTTACGATGAACACAGCCGATGGCAGTGCAACGGAATTATCTCATTTTGTTAGTTTCGACATCGGCGTTTGCAGAATTTGGAGACGAATAGATGCGTTCGTGCGCCCAGTCGTGAAGAAGAATGGTGAACTTGATCTTCACTTACTTCTAGGAATACCTTGGTTACACGACGTTAATGCAGGGATTTTTATTCGCGACTCCAAAATAATTCTTGGAGATCCGAAATTGAATGAGGCGAAGGCCGCTATTGTAGGCCCAACGTTTATGTCTTCGAGTGGGCACAAACTTGTATTGTATCCCAGACAAGCCCTGGATGACGAGGGACATAGGGAAGAACCGAGCGAACCACGCGCGAAAGATATTGTAGAATCAGATACTGATACGACAGATGAATCTGACGATACTGACTCTGATTTTGATGATGAGCTCCCAAAAGTTGTTACGTCTTCGTCGTCGGAAAACTAGAGAGACCTAAACATGTCAGTAAACTGTACAAAAATGTCATACACAGTGAGGAAATTACGAAAGAGGATAGTGAAAACCCTTTTTGTCAACAACCTCAGGACTCTGATCTTCAATCTTGTGTCCAATTTTCTAATTTTCATTTTAATAAGGACGGTCATCCTAATGATCCGAATTCGTCACCTATATTGTCTTCCAACAGTGTCTTACTAGAGTCGATGTCATGTACGTTTGACGAGACCGCCTTTGAACCAAGTGACCAGAAAGCACCGCGGATATTAAAGAAGAACAGAGATCTACTAACTAAGCAGCTGATGAGCGTTATGGGAGTTTCTGATAGAAAACACTGCTTAACTGATGGTACAGTTAATGGCTTCAATTCCCAGAACGACTCCAATTCAAATGAACCGTCGACTAGACTAATTAGAGAAAGTTTTGACCTGGCCGGAACATTTCCGACATCCAGAAGACCCAGAAGCAGACCTTTAAGTAAGGCTCCGAAAGAAGAGATCGATGAATGGTTTGGGAAAGTAGGAGTAAAGATAGGTACAGCTGTAGGCGATGACTTTCAACGAGACATGGTGAAACGACTTCTATTCACTTACCGCGATATCAATGGAGTTGAGCTAGAGCAACTAGTCCCAACAGACCTCTATGTTCATAGAGTTAGGATCAGAGAGGGGACTAAACCATTTTCAAAAGTCAAGCAGAAAAGGTGGCCTCCAGGGAAGGAGTTTTGGCTTCAAAAAATTGTTAATGAGGGGCTATCGTGTGGAATGTTCGAAAAGACCATGGCAGCAAATGGAAAGTTGTCAGATTGGAACGCGCAGGCCGTCATAGTGGACAAGAGCGACAATCCCGGACCTTGGGATGAGCCGAGAATTACGTTTAACTACCAGAATGTGAAGGAAGACATGCCAGGATGCTACCTGGAATTGATGGCCAAAGTACACGACCATTTGTCTCACCCCTCACACAAATTTTTTCTGAAGTTTGATGTGAAACACGGCTATTGGAATATCCTCGTTCATCCCGAAGATCGACATTTTTTTGCATTCACCATAGCCGGCATTGGCCAAGTTCAGCCGACTCGGATGCCTCAAGGATCCATGAGCGCAGGATTCTCCTCCACGGAGCTAATGTACATTGTGCTTGGTGACATTCCACCTGGTCAAAATCAATTTCCGGGCATGAAGTCTGTACTGGTGCCCGAAGATAATAGTAGTCCTCCAAAAGCCTCATTCTACATTGATGACATGTTTTCCGGTTTTCAAAACTTCA